CGGGGTGGTGATGGCAGGGTGGGTGAACCCCGCGTGATGGTGGTGCGTGGGTGCCTGGCGTGACAGCCGCGGGAGGGGAGCGCAGGGGCAAACCGCAGGAGGCCCGGCACGAATCCACCCCGCGGGGCCGCTGCTCACAAACCACCCTCCCCCCCCCCGGCTCCTCCCGCGGCGCAGCCCCCCGGAGCCCTCTCGGGACCCCCGGACCCCCGCCGGGACCCCCGGCCCCACGTGCGAGGGCTGGGTGGCGGCTGCAGCTCCTGTGCCTCGCACGTGGCCTCTCCGGGCCCCGCCGGCTCCAGGGACCTCGGGGACAGGATGAGGGCAGGGAGGGGGAGAGGAAATATTTTTGCATTATCCCCCCACTTCTCGCACGAGTTAATGGCAAAGCGGCGGTGGGACCGCGGCCCCGGGGCGATGGCAGCACCTGTGGGACGTGCAAGAGTGACATCAAAGCGGTGACAGAGTCGCTGCCTCCCCCCCCCGCTGCGGTTTCTGCAGATTTGACTAACTTTCTCCACTCCGGGGGGCAGGACGGGGGGGGGAAGGGGGGATAGGGGGGGCTGTGCCCGGCGCCGGGGAGCAACAAGGGGGGTGCCCCTGCCTGCAGCTCAGCCCCCCAGCACAGTCACGGCTGTGGGAAACGGGGCTGAGGGAGGACAGGACCCTCCCTCCAACCCCCCCCCAGTGCCCAGGGAAGCAGCAATGGGGCTAGTACTGGGAGAACTGGAAGGAGGAGGAGGATGAGCCGCAGCTCTCCCTGAGGGTGGGAGGCAGTGGGGTCTGGGGGGAGCAGCCTCAGCCTCACTCACAGCCCCCCTCACGGGGGTCCCGGGCACAGCGAGGGGGGAACAGGGAGCTGCTGGTGGTGATGGGGGGGATCCCCAATCTGTGGGGGGCACCTGGGTCATGCCTGAGGCTGAGGAGCATCACCCCCGACCTGGAGCACCCGCCGTGGCCGTGGAGCAGCAGTCCGAGCCCAGGACCACCATCCATCCCCAGCCCCGCGGGTGCCGCGCTGGAGCGGCCGGAGCCGGGCGGGTCGGAAGCGGATTCTTCTAAAAAAACAATTGTCTGCTGGGACTTTCCTGCCCCCGGCGTGTGACAATCGCCAGCCGCTCCCCGTGTCCCCGATCCCCCGAGGATTTCGCTGCCAGGTGCCGGCTCGCTGCCATGCAAATGTGGCGCCAGATATAACCCGGCCGGAGGGGACGGAGGGGACGGCTCGGGAGCTCCCCGGGGGCTTCACTTCCCCCCCGGCGCAGCGAAGGGGGCACCAGGCGTGACATGAACCCGCTGCCCCCGTCGTGGTGCCCCGGTGACAGCCGTGGCCCTGTCCTTGTGCTGCTCCCGCGTGTCCCGGCGGGACCCCCGGGGCTGCAGAGAATCCCCCGTGCCCGTGGGGACACTTCCAAGGCTGTCACTCAGCACAGAGGTGGCTCTGCTGGCTCCGTGCCCCCCCGGATTTGGGAACGCGGCCCACGCGGAGGGTGGGAAAACGCCGGCGGGGCCCGTGACTCAGGGCACGGCTGGGGACGGGGACACGGGGGAGGTGCCGCTGACTCAGACCTCCCTCGCCCGCTGTCCCCTCCCGGCTCCGGCGGGCTTGGGGAGCTCGGCCGCTCCCCGCGGGGGAGCAGGAGCCGGCCGGGATGCTCCAAGGATGCGGCGCAGCACCCGGAAGAGTTTTACGGGATTTTTTGGGCGTTAAGGAAGCGTGTTTCAACACGACGGCGGGGGGAACCAGTTCCTCCGTGCTCTGTCACGATAACAGTTATCAGCAGATAAGGATCGCTCTGTCACAACACCAACCGAAGGTTTCTGTAAGCCTTGAAAGGGGGTTGGTTCCAGGCAGCAGAGGGATGAGGGGGTTTGGATCAGGGACGGGATTGAGCCCCCAGGGGCTGGCGGGGCTGGCACTGTCGCACCCAGCGCTGGCACAGCGAGAGGGAAAGACCCCTCGGCGCTTTTGTTACCACCCCGGACTGGGAAGGAAGTGAGAAGGGAAAAAAAAAAAAAAAAAAAAAAAGGATCCTCTGACTTTCTTCTGGGTTGTTTTTTCGTTTCTGTTTCTCAAGCGTGTCCAGCCCTTGCGGCTGAAGGTGTCAGGGGGGAATGAAACAAGGGCGGGCAACGCCAGCCTGATAAAAGGAGGATGCTGAGAGGGCTGGGGGTGGTGTGAGCCTCCACCCTCCCGCTGCCGGGATGTTTCCATCGCGTTCCCGCACGGGAGGTGCAGCCCCCGGCATCCCACGGAACCCCCGCGCCCACCCCGCGGTCCGGGAGTGGGGCTGAGCTGCCCCCACCCCACGGCTCTTGGGTTTTATCGTTCCCCTGTTAACCACGGCTGCGTCCAACACCATTTCCCAGCAGCTGGAGGAACAGGCAGCGTTATTTTTACACCTCCGAGTATCGGGAACTCCGCTGAGTAACTGGTTGTGCTGAGCACAGCCCCCACCAGGGCTCAGCCCCCCGGGGGATGCACCGGAGCCACAGTCCCATCCCACCCGGGTGGTTCACAGGTCCCAGCTCCAGCCCTGGTGCTCCAGCCCCGCTCCCCAAATCCCATTCCCACTCCTCAGCCCGCTGTGCCCGTCGCTTCCCAGCTCTGCTTTAGCTCACGTGGGTTTACTGACATTTTTAAAAACTTCAGCAAACCTTTAAGCACCAGAGACTTGTTTCTTGGTGCTAAAAGGTCCTTCCCTGGGCCTCCCCTGCCATTCTTGGGGTGCAGTTCATCAGGAAACGAAGAGCCAAGAGAGGCAGACACACCATGGGACAGAGAATGCCCCAAGCCCAAATCTGTTCTGGACCAAAATAACAAACCACTTACAGAAAATCAGATTTTTGGATGGCTCCAGGTGGGCAGGTTCCTTGAAGAGCCTGCCTTTGCCTGCCCTCAAGTCAGCACATTGTCATTGTTTAGGTATTTTATTCATTTATTGACAATTCTTTGGTGTTGAAAACTAAGCCATTGAAAAGCAAGCTTGTGACAAAATTAGAAGTTGATGAAGACAACCACAATGTCCTAAAAACGTCGGACTTAGATTCTCCAAACTATCACAGAAATGTCAGGGCAGCAGTAGAACTGTTTTCTCTTTGTCCTCTGGGAATTCTTTCCCTCCCTTTCCCTCTCTTGTCCAGGCCCAAAGGCTTAACCCTTGGGGTGGATTGTTGGTGGAACCACAGCCTCACCTGAGGGGAGTGTTTGTCACACCGTGACACGAGTGTTCACTGGGGAAGAGCCCAACCTGCCTCAGATGGGAGACTGGGAAAGATCCTGAGTGTGTTTTACAGCTCCACATGTGACAGCAAACCAGATCTCCTGAGCCCCAGGGATAGCAGGATCCTGGATTAGCTCTTCCACAGCACTCTGGACACTCTGATTTATCCCTCTCCAGGCTGATTTATCCCTCTCCAGACCTACCCTTAGTGGGAAAAATGAATGTAGTCTCCTTTTTTTTTTTGTACCTTAAAATTCTTTGGGAGGAAATACTTGAGCCAAAAGAGGCAGAGGGAATGGAAATCAGGATTTCTTGACCCTGAGCTCTCCAGCCTTCCCTCAGGGAAGCAGCTGGATCACCAGGGATAACACAAAAGCAACGCAGCTCTCAAACCACACAGGGGATGCAGAAAGTCCATCAGAACACTCCTAACTAGGGGGGAACAAAAAATACTTCACAAAGAATAAACCTTCACTCAGCAAAGCCGTTCCCAAATCCCTCTCCAGCACAGGGACACTGACAGGGCTGCGGAGCAGGGAGGAGTTGCAAGGAATTGTTTTAAAAACCAGCTTCAGAGGGAGGCACCTGCTCAGGGTGTGGAGCAGCATCTCCTGCCAAGGGATGTCCTGGTGCAGCTCCCACACACCTGCAGGTCCCACCTGATCCCACTCCCATCCCAGCACTGTCCACAGGGACATGGAATGGCACAGCAGGAGCAAGGCAGAGGCACAACACACAGCGCAGCTTCATCCTCGTTCGTGGAACCCGCCAGAAAGGAGGAGTTTCCAGCAGTGAAAATCGGCATTTCCCCCCCAGCCTACATGGATGAGCCAACCAGTGACCTCACTGGGTGTCCCAAAAATAATTATTGGTAAAAAAATCCCAACCCCAAATGGGTCTCGTTTCTTATTTTGCTCTTTGCTGGGTGGGAGTGACTTCAAAGAAACTGAATAAAAGGGGTAAGAAAAATGGAAGTGTGGTGGGGCCACACACTTGTTAGGGCTTAGGGGAAAAGCTTGAAGGAGGAAATAAAAATCCCTCCCTTTTCCTGCCCTTGTTTTGGAAGACCATATCAGAAGTATAACTAGGAAAAGCTCCTCCAACACACCTCAGACCAAACACCTGAGCGAGCAGGGGAGCTGCCACAAAACCCTTTTGTGCTGAGTTAAAGCAAACCCTATAAAACCAAAACACACGCTAAAAATTGAAAACATCGCAAATGACTCCGAAGTTTCACAAAAATAAAAGTTCGTATCAAAACCAGGCTCTGCCCCGGGCGTTTCCCACAGTCCTGCTCACCACAGCAGCCGGGCAGAGATGCTACAGAACACTGAATTATCGAGAAACAATTTACAGAGGCGTCACCTGCCCGTGACACGCTTAAAAACCGGCCTAGAAAAATACTCGGGAAATTTCGTGACTCTAATTAAAAACCCGACCAAACGAGCCTCCCCTGGGCCGGGCAAACACGGCCCCCTGCCCTCGGGGGGAGCCGCTCCCTTCACTTGAGCACGACCCTGTGCTCTCCCCGGGCGATGTGCGAGGAGAACTCGTAGCGGTCGTGGCTCCGGTAGCCGCAGACGTTGCACTCGAAGGGGTCTCGGAAGCCGTGGCAGCCCATGTGGATGGTGAACATGACGTAATCCAGGAAGAGCACGCGGCAGTGGTCGCAGCGGAACACCCCGATGGGCTCCCCGTCCTTGTTGAGCACCTTGAAGGCGTCGCGGGGGCACAGGGCGGGCGGCTTGAGGATGTCGTAGGGCCGGGGGAAATCCTTCAGGCCCGGCAGGCCGTTGCGGGCCGGGGCGGGGATGGCCTGGCCCTGGGGGAAGGAGGCGTTGGGCCGCTCCTCGTGGTTGCTGTCAGTGTCCGTGGAGTCGTGGCCGCTGTTGTTGGGGGAGAGGCCCCTGTCTGACGACAGGCTCTTGTCCCTGAGGTGGCCGTGGCCGGGCTCGGGCGCGGCGCCGTTGGGCACGTCGGCGCGGGGCAGCGGCAGCGGGTACAGGCTGCTGATCACCGGCACCATCTCGGCCGTGGGCGCCGGCGGGGTCTGCACCAGCGGGCGCAGGGCCTCGGCCCCCAGGTAGGTGATGGCGTTGTTGATGGCCTGGTCCATCATGCGCCCGTGCATCAGCTCGCTCTCCTTCTCGTACAGGAAAGCTGGGCCGTAGCCCACGTCGAAGCTCGGCCGCTTCTCGCCTGCGAGGGAGCAGAGCTCAGAGTTACCCGGGCGGGCAAAGGAGGGTTAAACCCCACGGTGCCTCCTCTAAAGGGAAGGAGGCTCTGGGAAGTGAGGAGGCATGAGATGGTCTCTGTTGAAAGACTCTGTTTATAGACATAAGTAGCTTCTGGGTGGGGTTTTTCTGGGGGGGTGGTTAGTTTTTTAAATTTCAGGTTTGGAAGCAGAGTAGTCTAAGGAAGGAGGCTTTGAGGGTACTTTCTGATAGACCTGTCTTTGATATGGCCTTGGACACTGACAGTTCTCCTCTGACAGCTACAGCTTCCTCTGCACCACACCTGGGTTCTTGGACATCTACACAAGTTTTCAGGTAATCTAACACCGGCAGAGATATATATAAGTGTCAAAAATCACATTTAGAGTCACTTGATAAAGGGTTAGTAACAGAAAACTGTTTTCCTCTGGGTGTGCTGGGGCTCTGGAAGCTCTGGACTGGGCAGAAGGGAAGGACAGTTCACCTGAAATCCTGCCCACACCTCTTGGCAGCACAGCACGACTGGTGCAAGGAGGAAATAAAACTGCGCCCCAGAAGCGCTAAACTCATTTTTGGGGTGAATGTCT